GGTCGCCGGCGGTCGGCAGCCGTCAGTGCCGAGACACCTGGGAGCGGATCAGGCGAAACCATGTGAGGATCAGGCAAAGACATTTCCCTCCCCGGGTCGTCGGTCACATCACATGCTCGGTCCGCACGACACAAAGGAAGGCCATATGGAGGCGAGAACGGTTTCAGCCGGGAGGGGTGTACGTACCAACGACGCTTTCCCCATTTTATCTGAACACACTGGGGGCGTGCAACCCGCACGACCTCCACCGGTCCCCGCCATGGCGTCAACAATTTAGGCGACGTAGCCAAAGGTGCATGAGGGCAGTGCAGCCAGGCCCTATCGCCCGGCTTCCAATCGTGCACGGACACCTTCCGTGCACGCATGCGCTCGTTGGCGATTTGCCGAGACCTCGAATTAAACCGTGCGGCCTCCCGTGCCTCGGCGAGTTTTGCAACGTTAAATTTAATATGGTCGGCCAATTTGGAATTAGGCCGTGGCACGGAAAGTCCCAGCTGAGTCTCCATGGGCGGATCGGCCTCCCGACCGTACATCAGATAAAATGGGGAAAACCCCGTAGCTGCATGGGGGGCCAATCTATATGCGGCGAGGACCCCCGGGACCTGCAAGTCCCAGTCAACCTGCGCCTCGCACACCTGCTGGCACAACAAGGAAGTTAAAGTCCTGTGGAGTCGCTCCACCATCCCGTCAGTCTGTGGGTGGTACGGGGAGGTACGCACCTTTTTAGTACCCAAAAGGTCACACACCTCCTGCAGCAATTTACACGAAAAATTCTTTCCCTGGTCGGTCAGCAAGCATTCGGGAGCCCCCTTGTCCAGGACGTAGCCCTGGACAAAGTCGTCCGCCACGGCCGCCGCCGACTGGTTGGCGAGTGGCCACGCCATAGGCCATCAGGTAAAGCATTCCACACCAACCAACAGGTACTTGTTACCCCTAGGCGTGACAGGAAAAGGCCCCAAAATATCCAGCGCAACGAGCTCGTTAGTGCGCGAGACCTGAATAGACTGCAGCGGTGGATTCGACGCAACGGGCGGTGATTTCCGCTCGGCGCAATCCACACACCCCTTCAGTATATTGACCACATCGCTCCCCATCCCCGGCCAATAATAGTCACGCTGGAGCAGAGCAAGCGTTTTGTTAACTCCCAAATGCAAGAGGCGTTCGTGTGCGGCCAGGACAACTTTGCCCCGCATAGCGGAAGGCACAACGAGTGCGTGCCGGGACATATTGTCCCATCTCATTAGCAGGCCCTGCTTGAGCAGCCAGGAGCCAGTTCGCTTCCGACCCTCCTCGGGACCCCCCACCCTGCGACGCAACGCGAGCAGGGAGCTGTCAGCCATTTGGAGTCGGCCCCACTCAATTAGAGACAGTGAGAGTAGCGAGTCCCCTCCCGCAGGGGTAGCGGGAACGTCACCCATCGGCGCATTCGCGGTCGCGGCCAACGCACCCCTGGTTACAGCACCTGGCGGTTTACAGCGCGCCGACCCCATTAAGCACGCACATTCGGGACGAGGCGACAAGCCCGACAGCCCTAGTTGATGGACCCAAAAGCACGCCTTGTCCCGCAGTCTCCCCACCCAATGGCTTCCGCAATCGGAGGGGTATCGACATCTGCGAACCCGGGGGCACGTGCACCGTCTGTGTCGCTAGCGCTTGGATCGTAGCGCACGCCGTCCGTATTTCAGTAGGGTTCGATAAAAATGAAATACGGCGACCCGATGGCAGCTCAATACAACGTTGATCCACGAGAATTTGAATGGGCATCTTAGCCAAAAAATCTGTGCCCAACAGACAAGGAACCGCTAGGGAAGAGGAGACGAAAACAGGTCCCGCCAATTTAATATCCCCTATGCAAATGGTCGCCCGAATCTGACCGATAATACCCAACGAGCCCCCATTTGCCGCGTAAAATGGCACGTCCACCGGAAGCAGAGGTCGACATTGGACGGGGAGAATGTTATAAATGAGATCGGAAATTATAGTCGCCGACGCTCCCGTGTCCACCAACACCCTGACCTCGACCCCGTCTACGAATCCCGTAACGACCGACAAACCGGCCGACGCAGCCACTATTCTGTGGCCCAACTCGGACCATTCAATGTCCCCCCGGCCCCGTACGAACCCCCCTCTCCCAACCGAATCCCCGACCCCCAATCGCACATCCTCCGCCGCAAAGCGACGGCCCATGTGTGTCGTGTATATAGGCCGAGCATGTGAAGTGCCGCAACTTGCCGGGGGTAGTTGGGACGACTTGGGGCCGTGGTCGTCATCCAGCCGAGGTCCCGTGGCGCGCTGACGTGGAGCGCGGCACCCGGACGCCACGTGGCCCCGAAGGCCGCAGTTGTAGCATGTGATGAGGGACGTCGGAGGTCTCGGTTGCTCCAGCTTGCGGGTCGATCGCAGAGGCGAGCGACCCCCCAACCTCCAATCCCCCGGTCGTGCAGCCGCGAACGCCTCCTCCCGTGGGCGAACGACCTGGGGCTCGGTGACCACCGGGCCCGGAGCTGAGACCCCGGCAGCAGTGCAGACGACCACTCGTTTCCGCTGCAGGACCTCGTGCACTTGAATACTCGTTGCAACACGCAACGAACATATATCCACTTCGTCGGCTGTGTTGATGGGGACCCCCAGGTCCTGTGCTAACTTGAGCAGTTGTTCCAAAACCATAGCGTCCTGCCCCTCCTCGTCCATACGAGGGAACGCGGCATCGGCGAGGGCCAGCAACGCCGTGTGGTAGGCGAGCGCGGTCTCCGTGTCCGCCTTCCGTCGGCCGTAAAATAGGTGGCGGCAGGCCGAAGGTGGTCCGTAAACTTTGGCCATGAGGCCCAGCGCAGCCTTGAGCGTGGAGCGGGCCGATCTCGGTGCGGACCCGAAGGCCGCGAGCGCGTCGTCGTCCAACATGGCAGGCAGTGCCCGCAGCGCCGTAGCGTCGGACCAGGCCGACATCTCTTGATGCGCCAGGAACCTCCGTTGGAATGCGCTCCTAGTCCCCGCCTTCCGCCTTGAAGGCTGTCAACGTGGGAAGGCGCTGCTGGAAGATGATGTCGTCCTCTGTCACGTGGCTCTCCCCCGCCGCCCCGTCGGTCTGCAAAATGGCGGCCCCTATGGCAGGTGGAAGATGGCAGCCCATAGCGCGCGCCGATGACGTAGGCAGCCGCGCTTGGAGGACCCCCGCTACGTGGTGCTCGCCATTCCCACCAAAAGATGTCCGCTCGGTAGAAATGGCGGGAACTGCAAAGTCATTTTGGCGGGAATCAGCGAGGCGAGTCTTTTGAATGTCCGCCGACGTCCCCGCTCCTCCCGACGTGGTGATCTCCGCCAGGATGGACGCCGCAGCGAGTAGCAGCTCCGCCAGGCGGGAGTGCGCCTCGCGGAGTCCGGCATCAGCCCCCAGCCGCTCGTCCGGTGGCCATGAGGGGTCCTGTGGCGCAGGCATCTCCTCCTCTTCTCCCCCTGATGCCTGCTGGCCCGAGTCGTCGTGGTTATCCTCGCGGTCAATCTCGTGAGTCCGATGAGTCTTGCTGGTATCCATGCCTGGAAGACTTTCACTCCTGACGCCAGTTGAAGTATAGTAAACTACGGCGGGAAACCACTTGACGGGTAGCACACTTTATTCACACTTGGGTTGTCACAATAACACGTGTTGTCACTACAGCTCACGCTACACGTTCCACTCGACACGTGTGGTAACTACTGCTCACGCTACACGTTCCACTCGACACGTGTGGTCACTACAGCTCACGCTACACGTTCCACCCGGCTACACACACACGGGCATTCCAGCCCCGTAGCATCCGGGGGAACCTCTAGACCCACCCCAGCTTGGGTACGGATCACGACCACTGGTTCCCGCGGCCCGGCCCTCACACGGACGTCCGGCCCCCGGGTCCCAAGGTCCCGCCTCTGAGCCACACAGGGCCCCGGTCCTTACAAGGACAGCGGGACTAGGTGACTCAGGGCCCTATCTCTTCCTCCTCCGTCTTCCGTCTTCACTGGTCACCAACTTCTCCCCGAGCGCCCGCGCGCACCGCCTTATATAACCCTCCGCTCCAAAGGGACGGAGCCTATGCGGACCGCGATGTGAGCACTCACCCTAGCCGACCAATCATCACGCGCTGCCACACGATCTCTCCTTGTGCCAGCGCACATAACCAATCCCCACGCGCTGCCACCCGATCCATCACTGTCAGCGCGCGTCACCAACACACAGCCAATCACCATCACATAACCCATGACCCCGCGCTGACCTACGATCCCTCACCGTCAGCGCGCGTCACCAACACACAGCCAATCACCACGCGCTACGCCACGATCCTTACTACCAGCGTGTATCACCACTACATAGGTATGCTGTTGCTGCTTCTGCGATAACAATACAAGATTGCACAAGACCGAAACAGCAAACACAGGGTCCTTAACTTCCTCATTGCAGCCTGCACAGGTAATGACGATGCCATCGTAAAGGCGATATTGGGGTTCGTGTGGATAAGCTTAGCCTTTTGTAAATAGCTGGGATAAGTCAACCTATGACTGGGAATTTAACTCGCAAACTGAAAATGTGGCAATCAGATGTCTGAAGTCGACGGGCGTGGTTTGCCAGGACTGATCTTTCCATTGGAATGTTGTTTTTTCCCATTAATCATCAAATCATCCAGGCAGGGTGAGGATTGGTTCAACAAACAAGGTGTGTGTCTTGTCTGAAGACAATTCTCTGACCAATTTTTACACGAGTTAGTGAACACCAGGTTCAGACAGGTTGAGAATTGGGTTCAATATACAAGGTGTGTCTTCGTGTCTGAAGACAATTTAACGACCAATTTACCCGAGTTAGTGAACACCAGGTATGGATTCGGGACAAAATACCAATACTCACAAACTCATCACGGAAACAACAGCAGCACAGCCTTTCTGAAAGCACCGGAACTATCACAGCTGACAGAGTCGCGACGTTTGGCGACGCCACCCGAAATGACTCCATTCTGCGTGGATGTTCTCTGCAGGTGGGTTATGCACTGCAGGAGCTGTCAGCCACCACAGAGTGTGGACATGGATTCTACAAATCACCACAAGGAAAATGCTGCGAGCTGTGCCGTGCAGGTAGAGCGACGCAAAGACACGGAGACCCCCAATCCCTGCGCCTCTGTGGAGTGACAAATTGTGGTGACCGGTTGCTTCCTTTCCCCACCAAGTCACAGCTCGGCTCCTGTGGAAAGGAAACTAAACGGAATTAAAATTTCCCCGTGAACTTGCCACAATTTGGATGTAAATGATGGTTACTGAATGAAATAAATGTGTTTTCAGTCGAGCCATTGTGCTCTTAATCACACCTAACACACGTTGACAGTCAGTGCAGCTCGATCTCACCAACTTGTGATCATGTGTTTTGCAACAACTCCATTGCTTGCTCACACCTCTTTGCCTTTCAGGGATGTACAAAGCGATGGACTGCATAGCTGATGGAATGAGCGCCTTGTGTGAGCAGTGCCCTAGAGGCAGATTCATGGACAGAGACAGCCAGGAGGAGGAGTGCACGCAATGCAGCATCTGTGGACCAGGTAGATGACAGCACAGCAAGTGGGTTGCTACTGTATATGTGAATTATGTTTGACATTTGTATTTTTTTAATGCGTGGCAGGGTTTGCCTGCATACTCCCCTTTCAACCAGCATAAAAAAACACGGACAAAACTTGATGAGGAATTGACCAAATATTCCAAGCAAGACAATCCCACCTCAAATTATATTCCAATTGTTGTAATCAGAATCTTGAAAAAAGAGCTGGGGTCATAGTCTTGATTGGACGAAACACCATTCGCCACCTTCTAATGAAATTAGGTGGAGGCAATGCCGCAGTGAAAAGCGCAGCCAGATGGTCAGAAAGGCGAGGATCAACGGGCTGCACATCTAAAACGCCAATCCCACAGGGAATTACAAGATGGAGGGTGTGACCATGGCTGTGAGTGGGTATATTCACATGGTGGGTGAGACCAAAGAAATAAAATATAGCCAAGATGTCCCCAGGCAAGGAGCAATTCCGAGAATCGACACGGATATTGACGTCACCCAGAATAAGCATCCTTGTCATAGGTTGGGAACAGCACTGTGATGAGCTCGGCAAACTCGTGAAGGAGCAGAATGGTTGACTTTGGAGGATGATATCCCGGTGCCAGAAGCACGGCACGGATACTTCTCCACTCAAAAACAAAACACTCAAACGCTTGGAAAGCAAGGATGGTCACAGGCTGTAGATTGGCAAATTTGCAGTAAATAATTATATAGTATAGGGTATAGTAGTGTAGTACATAGCGTAATGTATATTATTGTAGTGTGTAGTGCAGTGTATAGTGTAGTGTGTAGTACTCAAGTGTAGTATATAGACGTGTATAATTTAGTATATAGAGTAGTGTATAGCGTAATGTATAGTATTGTAGTGTATAGTGCAGTGTATAGTGTAGTGTGTAGTACTGAAGTGTAGTATATAGAAGTGTATAATTTAGTATATAGTGTAGTGTATAGCGTGGTTTATAATCGTGTAGTGTATAGTGGAGTGCATCATCATCATCAAGATCCATGGGCAGATACCCCCATACATTTCGTCATTTGTTTCCACTTTCCATTGTCTTGTACCAATCTGCTCAAGTAGTGGCCACATCGTTCTGGCACCAATTTCTTGCAATGTCGTCGTCAAGCCATTACTCTGTTAGATCTTCCTCTCTTTCCGGTTCCTTCCATTTTTCAAAAAAACAACAACACTTTTAATTATCCTGTTGTTGTCCATCCTACATATTATTATGGGTTCAGTAATAATGTCCTGCCCATGACAATTACTCAGAATGTGCCCAATCTCCTGAGATCTCAGAAGCGAGACAGGGTTGAGCCTGGACATTGCTGTGATTGGTAATCACCGTGCATATAAACTGTCAAAATCTTGCTTTGTATTCAACATTCCCCCAATTTTCTGCAAAAAAAGAACAAATAAATCGGCACATTTACCCACGTTACAACTTGATTTATTTTATTTCTTGGGTGTTGGAGGGTTATAGTTTATAAAATCTACGTACATAATCTACCCCAAATCCAATTAATCTTCTTCGTGAAAGCCTACGTATGAAAACAAAATATGCTATAGCCTGGTGCGGCACTACATTATAGGCAGTGCAGCGAAAACCATTGCTGTAATGTACTATGCACCCACATCTATGCTCCTTTGGTCGAAAAATGTGTTAAATAATGTGAGAGCCAGAGGACATCCCTGTCGCACCCCAAAGTGAACAGGGAATGGCTCCGCCTCCCGGCCACGTAGTTTTACCCGGGCCCACTCGCCATCATGAAGGTCCTTAATGATCGTGAGCAGAGGGTCAGGGACTGAAAGCACGAAGAACAACCCACAGCCCAGGCCTACTGATGGTATCATAGGATATGACCAGGTCAATAAAGCAGAGATGTAGGTCTTGTTGGAATTTCCTACACCTCTGCTGTAGCAAACAGACAGAAAATATGGCATCTGTGCAGGACCGCCCTTTCCTGATACCACATTGGGGCTCCGCAAGCCTCTCTTCAGCGTGCCTGGCAAGGCGATGTTGAATTATTCTTGCCAGGACCTTTCACGTCACACTGAGGAGTGAGATGCCCCTGTAGTTGTTACAGTCTCTGCGGTCTTCCCTCTTAAAGAGGGGGACCACAAGGGCATCCTTCCAATCTTGCGGAACCTGTCCAGTGTTCCAGACTGTTGTTATGATGTCATGTAGGGTAGTCTGTTAACAAATGCCACCCTCCCTCAGCATTTCGCTTGGGAGATCATCTCTGCCCGGTGCCTTTCCTGGTCTCAGACTCTGGATCGCCTTTTGCACTTCCTCAACAGATGGCACCTTAGCCAGCCACTCACATGGGGTGACTTCTTTCTCCAATATTTGAGGCACCACAGCCTCAGCAGGGTAATCCCCACTTTGTCCCACGATGTTTTCCATGTAGAGGGATTTCCCCTCCCCCAGGACTTCACATAAATGCTCAGCAAATCTGCAAACCTGTTCCTGGGGGTTGGGGATTGGATCACCGTTTTTCCCCTAATGATGGTAATAGGAGAGACACACACACACAGTGAGACACATATAGAGAGAGACACACAGAGAGAGAGAGAGACACACACAGAGAGAGACACAGAGAGAGACACACAGAGACACACACAGACACACAGAGGGAGAGACAACACAGACACAAAAAGAGACACAAGAGAGAGACATATAGGGAGACACACAGAGAGAGACACACACACAACAACATCACAGCCAGTTATAGTCTGCTAAAAAACGAGAGCCACCGCCACATCGAGGGAAAGGGGCAACGTTGGCATTGTTAGTGAGACATTTATCCCGTTAATGTAAAGACAATTAACTTGGTAATTTAAATTGGTAGTGTAACTCAAAGAGTCGGAAATAACTCCTGACAATGGCAGGTAGGATGTAAACATCAACAACCAGTTAAGGCTCTCTCCCGCCTGAAGACGATTGCTTGTGCGGCGATCGCAACGTCGTGATCTATTATTTTTTCTACCTACGTGACTTTACCGAAAGAACCGAAGAGTATGGATTCCTGGAGTCACGAAAGCTTCAAATCAAGATTGAAAAATGTATGTTGAACTTTTTTCACACCGTACGTATTCAACCATCTGCGTTGAGACTGATTAACTTTCTCATTGCAGGCGAGGAGGTGGCTGTGAACTGCTCCGTGGCCCAGGACACGGTGTGTCGGTGCATGGAGGGCCTCCAAAGAGACGGCAACTCGGGAATTTGCCTGCCAGAGGAGTCACACCCAGGTAGTAGTAGGATTACAAAGACGCTCAAGTGAACCACAATACTGTACGCTGTTTGCTTTCTCAGCTGACAGTGGGAGAAATTGACAGCCTGGCAACTGAAACAGCAGAAGCTGTCTGCAGTAGAAGCACAAATTGAAACTCAACCTTATGTCTATTGCATGCATGTGTAGACGAGTAGTGGATGACGTCATGTCACTCGGGGAGAGAGAAGGGATGACGTCAGGTTACGCGGGGATATAAGGGGGTACCCGTGACGATAGAGGGGTCGTCGCGAGGGGCCAGGAACGAAGAGAGTTGAGAGAGTGGGGACCCGGGTAAAGAAAATTAGCACCAGGCTAGGGTGGCTACTTCACCCGGCCGACTATGAACCCTCAGTCGGTGCTTAAGGCAGAGCACGAATAGCTTGGGTGGCGCTAGGGACCTCCCAGTACCGTTTCCCCTGGGGAGATTCTACGTGCTCACCTGTTAGGCGTAAGCCCTAATAAAGTTCCTGGCATTAGCCCTTAATACATCTTAGCATCCGCCCCTACGAAGAACTGCGTCTGCGTCGTCTGTTACACCTCAACACATGGTCAAGCACAGCCATTTGTGATGTTATCAATTCACTACCCTGTGCAATACTGAACACCTAATATTTGTTGTATCTACACTCAAGTTTTAGACTGGAGTCCCCTTGCCTCCAAATCTGCACACTGGGTAGTAGCACTTTTACTTATCATTTCAGAGGTTTGTGGTTTAAACCAAACGGCTACCCTAGTTAATTCTACTGGTGCATTCAACAAAATAAAATGCGCCATCTGCTTCACTGTGAATTATCGAGGTCTGGTAACCTTATTTGAAAATAGAATGCCATGTGTACTGGCATCGCGGTTCAAATGTGAAAATTACCTGCAAAATTATTTTTTGGGGGAAGGTAAATCGTAAAAAAAATAACATAACCCGCAACTGTGAAAATGCTGCATTTTTTTAAAAAGCGCCTTCACAATATTTTTGTGCTTAAAGAGCAGTGATTAGACGGTTTGATTTTTATAGAGGTTGTGTTAATGCAACGTACTCGATACCCATGCATTGCAATGTATCACATAGACCTGACAAGTGGGCGGAGAGGGGTCTGCTGTTCACAGCTTGTTGTTCTTTTTCCTCCATAAATTTTTCATACGCCACGTCAATCGTGTTGGCAGCAGCCCTCATCTTCGTCCTGACTGCACTCGTGTTGCTCATAGTTTACTTCAACATGAAGCAGAAGGGGTTGACTTTTAAAAGTATGTTGAAGCGATCCGGTAAGTGGTAATGTTCTGTGCTTAATCCAAAGATCCCATCCTGGTATTGGGGCTGAAATTATACATGTGGCAAAATGTATTTTACTCATTATATGTGAATTAAGATGTGTGGAGAAATCACGTCTTGGCACAAGCCGCCTCTGAATGCTTTCTGCAGACACCACTGCACAGAATAATGAAAATGAGTTGCATCCCTTTTGAAAGCTTGGCTTCGGTGTCATTTGAAATAGTCCCGAGGAGAGTGTTTCTGCTGGTGACAGTCACCTCTGCCATGCCTCCACTCATCCAACAATATTTCATACTCGCGTAAAGTCGTGTTGGACAGGACGCTCAATTGAAGCGTCATCGTTACTTAGATGTGTGCTTACCGCTCTTGTCACAAAAAGAGTAAGTGGAAAATGATCGTGGTCCCGAGGGCATCGAGATAGGAGTTGGACTGATTCAAAACGATCGCAAAACTGTCTGTTCATGGTCTTTCGCCGGAGGTGATGACATCTTCATCTTGGCTATGAAATTCTGCAACTTTACATTCCAGTTAATACCTGTCCAATTTTAAAATTATAGGAAACATTTATAGGTTCTCCTTGACTCTAATATCACCATGTTTAGTATTCTGTGTCGAATAATAGAACAGTTTTTAGTTTTGGACCGATAAGAAAATGATACAACCGCATCGACTGTGCTATGAATCAGTGATTAACTTATTTCATCGGATTTATTTCAGACACTTCTCATGCAAATAATGAGAATGATGAAAATCTACGGCTGGTTCTTGTCATGCAAAATGAACACGAGGTGACACGTGAAGTTCAGGTAAACTCAACGCAGCATGGTTACATGATGACCCTACTCTACAATGTTTCAGTGTGTAAGCGTGTATACCAGTACACTGAAGACTTCATCCCACATACACATAAATAATTGTAACCGTGTCTTCTCCACACGCTACAGAAGAGCAATGATAGCAGCGATACAATGCAACTCATCCAAGAGAACAAAGAAAATCTCAAGGCCTGGATCGGAGTGGATCCCTCGCCCTTCCTGGAGCATCTCAACAGCCTCAATTTGATCCCTCGGCACGTTCACCAAGCGGCCGTCATCAAGGGTGGAGAGGAGAGTGTTGAGCTCGTACTGGACCACTGCATCAGCCAGGGAGAGGCGGGCTGTGAGAAGCTGTGGGATGCCCTCTACTTTGTGAGGAAGCAATACGTGCAGCTGTGGAAGTGGATTCAGAAACACGGTACGACCCACGTAAACACACCAGTGTATTGATATTGAATGCCTTTTGTTAGAAAAACCATGCATATCTTCTGTAAGGCTTTCCAACACGAGTTCGTCCTCGGGAAAGTAATTAGCCACATTTCGATTTAAAGCTTTCGTGACTGCAGGGATTCATATTCTTGGTTCTTTCGGTAAAGTCACGTAGAAGGGAAGTAATAAAATAATAAAAATAAAACATAATAAAATAAGTCTCACGACGTTTCGGCCACAACGCAAGCAGCCGTCCTCAGGTGAAGAATGAAACACCACCAAGCTTGGAGCGTATATTTAAGCTGGGTTGGAGGGGGGGAGGTGGGAAGAAGAGTGCCTAGACAAAATAATTTGCATATCAAGAGGAATTTAGCATATGGAAAATGCGTAGGAGGTGGGCGGGGGGGTTTCAAATTAATATTATGCCCGTGCATTATGCAGGATTAGCAGCATCAAAGGGAGGGGGAAGGGGGTAGCATTAACAAAGGAAAGGAATGTTAATAGTATGTAGCTGCAGTTGCTAAACAACCACGTAAAAAACTAAAGTATAAACTACATAAACAACTAAAGTATAAACTACATAGCATCATCAGTATACTTACTATACTCTACAATAAGCTGAGTTACTAACAGTAAGTAATACATTACAATTGTACGTCGTAAAAATTATATAATATGCTTCCATCTAAACTTTGTTCTCTTACATCACACGAGTCTACACCGTACTATATACTGCCATAGATAAACCCAACATTAAATTATATACTGTATTGCTATAAACCACCCTATACCTTATTCATTTTAATATAACACTATGTATTATTCTACCCACCCTAATGTGTATCACACTGCTATATGTTTACTATACAATTACGATACTATATATTACTTTGTACATTGTATTAAGCATATAAATGTTATACTATTTGTTATTATACACTGTACCATTGACCGTCGTGTCAATGGGTGAGTCGTGGGGGGGGAAACTTGCAGCGGAGCAAAGAATCCATTCCTTGCGGAGAATACAATGCCAGGGAGTGGAACGCGGTCTGAAAGTCACCGTAAACGTGAACACAATCAGTTAAGATCCGAAATGATTTATTACATCCTTCCAATGTTTGCTAAGCCAGAATCCATCTTCTCGGTTGAAATTGTCTCTGTGTTTGTATATGTGGATCGCCTCATGAACGAATCTCTCATGATAGCCAGATGGCTTGCAGAGAACCTCTGTCTTGGAGAAGTCAATGTCTTGTGAGCCCACTGAGTTGTAACAGTGGTCTGCCACGGCTGAGGTGTTTGTCCTACCGTGTTTCAGGTCTGATTTATGTTCACGGATGCGGTCCGAGACATGTCGTTTGGTTTCTCCAATGTAACTGCTACCACAGAGGCAACCTAGTTTGTAGACGCCAGGGTACTGTATGTCTGGAACCACATCTTTTACACACGGGACCAGATCACGGATTTTATGTACTGTGTTGAATCGGACCTGGATCTTGTGTATAATCAGGATTTTGGAGATCTTTTTTGTGACCCCAGCAATGTAGGGTAAGGTGATGGTTTTGAAAGGCTCCTCAACAGGATCCTTCTTGATGGTTGGAGTGATGGCTTTGCGGATTGTGTAGTCGGAGTAACGACATGTCTCGGACCGCATCCGTGAACATAAATCAGACCTGAAACACGGTAGGACAAACACCTCAGCCGTGGCAGACCACTGTTACAACTCAGTGGGCTCACAAGACATTGACTTCTCCAAGACAGAGGTTCTCTGCAAGCCATCTGGCTATCATGAGAGATTCGTTCATGAGGCGATCCACATATACAAACACAGAGACAATTTCAACCGAGAAGATGGATTCTGGCTTAGCAAACATTGGAAGGACGTAATAAATCATTTCGGATCTTAACTGATTGTGTTCACGTTTACAGGTGACTTTCAGACCGCGTTCCACTCACTGGCATTGTATTCTCCGCAGGGAATGGATTCTTTGCTCCGCTGCAAGTTTCCCCCCACGACTCACCCATTGACACGACGGTCAATGGTACAGTGTATAATAACAAATAGTATAACATTTATATGCTTAATACAATGTACAAAGTAATATATAGTATCGTAATTGTATAGTAAACATATAGCAGTGTGATACACATTAGGGTGGGTAGAATAATACATAGTGTTATATTAAAATGAATAAGGTATAGGGTGGTTTATAGCAATATAGTATATAATTTATTGTTGGGTTTGTCTATGGCAATATATAGTACGGTGTAGACTCGTGTGATGTAAGAGAACAACGTTTAGATGGAAGCATATTATATAATTTTTACGACGTAGAATTGTAATGTATTACTTACTGTTAGTAACTCAGCTTATTGTAGAGTATAGTAAGTATACTGATGATGCTATGTAGTTTATACTTTAGTTGTTTATGTAGTTTATACTTTAGTTTTTTACGTGGTTGTTTAGCAACTGCAGCTACATACTATTAACATTCCTTTCCTTTGTTAATGCTACCCTCCTTCCCCCTCCCTTTGATGCTGCTAATCCTGCATAATGCACGGGCATAATATTAATTTGAAACCCCCCCGCCCACCTCCTACGCATTTTCCATATGCTAAATTCCTCTTGATATGCAAATTATTTTGTCTAGGCACTCTTCTTCCCACCTCCCCCCCTCCAACCCAGCTTAAATATACGCTCCAAGCTTGGTGGTGTTTCATTCTTCACCTGAGGACGGCTGCTTGCGTTGTGGCCGAAACGTCGTGATAATTATTTTATTATGTTTTATTTGTATTATTTTATTACTTCCCTTCTACGTGACTTTACCGAAAGAACCAAGAAGATAATTAGCCACAATGACGCTAATGTTTAAAGCCGCACAGGAATGATGTCATGCTGTGTGTGACTGAACGACTTCACGTTACACTTGACTGTTTAAGTACCAATATGAACCTACATATGTTATACGTTGTACCTTGATTCCAGAAGCAAAATCGAGGCCTAATTTGATAGCAAATCAATTAAATCTGTGTAAAACGATACTTGTGAAATTCATATGAACCTCTGTTGACTGCAGGCGAGGCATTGAGGGCCATTCGAGATAAGGAGTCCGATCTGAAGCTGTGGATTGCCAGAGACCCCAAGCATATTTTGCTGCAGCTGATGAGTCGTGGACGGATCCCAAACGAGCTCTTCACCAAGGCCAAGGGCATCCGGGATGGTGCAGAGTGCGCAGAGCTGCTGCTCAACTACTTCATAGAGAGAGGGAACGACGACTGCCTCAAGCTGCTCATTGCTCTGCAGGCTGTGCAGGACGAGTATTCTGGACTCAAGAAGTGGCTGGGAGGCCTTGGTAACAAAACAATAAATTAATAATAAACATTTAATTTCAGACAATCCAAATTTGTCGTATTAACCGGCCATAATTTATTATCGTGACATGTCCTGCGCATGTGCACTTAATTAACAAAAAATGTTTTATAACCCATGCACTGTCGTTTTGTTTTTCTACACAATTGGAAACCGTGCACTTGTCCATGCTTTGTTGCACCCTCTTGCAATGCAGTGTCCACGTGTTTGATCCGTATATCATAGCAGGTAATGTGCGCTGATTAAAACTTTCTTCTTCAGGCTCATTGGTTACGTTACATTTAATTGAAAATAGGGTTTTTCCCTTTTTTTCTGGCAACAAAACTGAAACCTTTTTTTACAAGAAATTATGTCTGCATTAACCACAATACTTGTGGTCAAAATGCAAACAAAAACACACTGATAATATATGCATTGTCCTTGAAACTGATTGGTCCATACCAGAGACACCTTTCTTTTGAGCCTAGTCTCAATTGGTGCTAGACCAGACGATGCCACAAGTATTGTGGTTAATGCAGACATGATTCATTGTAAAAAGGTTTTAGTTTTGTTGCCAGAAAAAGGAGAAAACCCCTATTCTCATATTTTGGTACTGGCAAAGGATGTCTAATGATGTAGTTACATTTCATTATTTGGTTAAATTTTCCAAAAGCATTCCAACCTGCTCTCATCCACCTTTGAATGCTGGAACGGTGCCAATTGCTGCTGCGTTTCTCCCGTTTTGTGGTGCCGCAGACTTCCTCCGGAGACTCTCCAACAAGTCCCCCGTGGTTCTGAACAAGTACAACGACTTTGTCCTCCGGGACAAAATCCGCTTCAAGACGAGGGAGCTGCTCATGGCACTGCGCGACGACCTGACGCCTCTGCTCTCCCAACTGCAGATCAGGAACATACTCACCGACAACTGTGTGCGGGTATGTCCACTAAGATCATCGTCATCATAATCACGTATCACATAATAAATAAGTACGTTTGGTATTTGGCCCGGGATTGGTTGACATTGAGCAATCTCAATAAGGTCCATGTCGATGTTAGGGTTAGACAAGCTGAAATAAGTGCAGAGAGTACGAACAGATATACGAAGCACAATTTCACAGAGCACTACACATAGGTCGTTGCACCCATTGGTAGTGGCACACGTGATCTTATAATTATAACGTTTCTAAGACGACCATTACCATATTTTCCCGCATATAATCCGTGGGGTATACCACTTTTTACAAACACCGACAACACTGTGCGGGTATGTCCGCTAAGATCATCATGATAATCACGTATCACATAATAAATAAGTACCTTTGTTATTTGGCCAGTGTTTTGGCTCAAATGATACCACGAAAGCACGACGGATATACTTTCTATGCTGTACAAAGCATTTCCATCATGAATCTGCTGCGGGATTGGTGGACAGTGAGCATTCGCAATGAGTTCCATGTCGATCTGCCTTAGACAAGCTGAAATAAGTGCCGAGAGCACAGACGAAGAACCACAATTTAACGGAGCATTAAACATAATTCTAGATGTGAAGCTTTCGTGACTGCAAGGATTCATACTCTTAGGTTTTTTCGGTAAAGTCACGTAGGTAAAAATAAATAATTAAAATAAAATAATAGAAATAATAATAGAAATACAAATTATAAATCACGACGTGACCAAAAAGATCTCCAAAATTCTAAACAAACATAAGATCCAAGTCCGATTCAGTACAGTACATAAAATCCGTGATCTAATTCCATCTGTGAAGGATGCTGGGTGGGTGGTAGAAAGAGATGGAAGGAATGCTGAGGTGAATACTTTTATTGTTGGATTTGTCTCCCAAGTTTTAGGGAACCCTTCAATGAATGTGGCCAGTATTCGATAGGGGTAAGTCCCGAATAGGAATACAACCTTATCTGGAAGTGTTGCTCATGTTGGATCATCTTTACAAGAGTTATCGATTGTGGTGCATAGTCGCACACCAAGTCACACTTTGTCATAAACGCTGCTTTACAACGGAAATACAATGGTTCTGGAGTGTTGTAGGCAAGTGGCTCTGAAGAATCGCCATCGCTATAGAAACGTCCTTCCGCTAATAAGCATTGCATCTTGTGCTCGTGTGTTCACCCTGCAGGCCGTGAAAGAAATGCAAGCTCGGCAAGGCAGCGAGAAGGCGACACAGCACATGGTGGAGTTGGTGATGGCGAGGGGACGACCCAGGGTGAAGCAATTCTGGGAGGCGCTTTGGGACCTCAGGGAAAGTTACCCAGACCTGGAGAACGTCTTTGAGAAGTTTTAATGGATGGAACCGGAAAGAGAGGGAAAACTGACAGCGACTTTGACTTGACATCACGAAATTGGCGCCAGAAAGATGTGGCCACTACGTGAGCATATTGACACAACAACACAGGGAGAGGAAAGTGGAAACAAATGACGAAACGTGCAGTGAACCACCACCTATGAATATGGGGATATCTGCCCTATGGATCGTGATGATGAATGGATATGGGGTGGGGGGAGTAGTTGTGGTCCAGTGGTTAGTGCACTGACCATATCACGGTGGCTAGGATATGTTAATTACCCCGCCTCGTATACAGGACAGGAGGTCGTGGCTTCGATCGCGACCCAGACGCTTGCTGTTTATTTGGAGTTTGCAACATCTCTCTCCCCGTGGTCACATGGATTTTTATCCAAGTCCTCCGCTTTTTCCTTCCACATGAAGAATCAATGTGATGCGTTAATGGTATTTGGCTGCTTTAAAATTCCACGTGACACTTCGTTGAGCTTTCATTTCGGATAGCCATGTCGCTTCTGAAAAATAGCTACTATATAGCTCATTGGGCCTTTACTTGTAAAATAACAAAAAAATGTTGATCATTTATGAACATAACTCATCTGTCTGCTTCTTCCTTGGCACCACTCCACTTTGCAATTCCCTCCCATCGTGTCTTGTTTCCCCCAAGTTTTTGTAACAACCCTTGCCCAATTCAAGAAAGGTATTGTCCATTGACAGCCATGCAGAGGAATGTGCATGGTTGTCGTGTGGGGTGTTTAGTGAACGAGACCGGATTAATCGGTCCTATTCATTAAGATTACTATCATTCATCTTTGGTTCATTTAAGTTATGGTCGGCTTATTTTAACTTTGTTTTATTATTTAATAAATAGCATCACGATATAATTTTAAAAATATATTTAATCACAGGCCAAGCAAGATGTATTCACTTGCTTTAGATCGCTGCCACTTCCAGAGCAGACCACTTTGCCAGGCTTCCTCACTGCCAGGCCAGGGATGCCTGATATGGCCATGGTCGCCATTTTAAAAAAATGGCCACGAGTTATCAGCCCCGAAAAACATTCGTAGAAGATTACAATTCTTGCTCGATTAGTCATCATTATTGATGTCATCACTTTGCTCTATTCGTCATCGTCAGTGATGTCATCACCTTGCTCTATATTCATATTCATCGGTGATGACATCACCTTACTGGATTCATCATAGAGTAAGGCGATGAGGTGAGATGACGGTCACCCCCGACAATGCAGGCTATCTGCCTACCATCAATGCTCCAGCGACACAAATGTCTACTGTCAACAAGGTTCTTAACCAGTCACTGAGCGTCATGAAGTACTTAAGCCTGACACAAATAGTTTGCCTATTTGACCAAGCCGTGTATGCCAAGGCTGTCGACATCACATGGAGACACTGTGACAAGTTCCATGATATCATCGTCAGGCTTGGGGTATTCCACACCATCTGCACACTGCTGGCAAGAATAGGAAAGCGTTTCTAAGATGCTGGACTCCGAGATCTCTGCATTGAGTCTGGCATGATCGCAGAAGGCTCCATTGCTGGTGTTATGGATTACCGCAAGCACAACAGAGCAGTGCGACTTCACAAGGTCCTATATGAGGCTTTAATGTGACTGACATGGAATGGTTTCCTGTCCTGGTTGGAAGCAACTGACATTAGCGACATGTTCCACCGGTATGACACACTGAGGAACATTGACAACCTTGGGAAAGAAGTCTCACAAGCCGCTTTGAACGAGGTCCTCGAGAACAGCTCATGTACACGCATCACGGAACTGTTTGAAGTCTACCGTGAGTTCCTCAGAGGTGGAAACGGCAGCCTCTCGACCTTCTGGATGCCGTATTTGGACATGGTTGAAATATTGTTGGGGCTCATCCTAGCATCCAGAGAGGGAGACTGGATGCTACACTTGGCAAGCATCCGAGCAATGATCCCATGGGGCTTCGCTTATGCGAGAATTAATATTGCACGCTACCTCCCCTACTACTACTACGACTAGATGTCTCAGCTACCCATCACACCCAGATGTGTACACAAAATTAATGGAAGGAGGCTTCTCAGTTCAACTGAACTCCACCAATACTTTTGGCCGAATCCCTGTTGACCAAGCTATAGAAGAAACGGTGAACAAAGACACCCAGACAGCTGGAGGGACAAAGGGATTCAGCTTGAAGCCAGGAGCCGTGACTAAATATTACCTAACAGCTGAGTACAGAAGCATGTACCTCAGACAGCTGAGAGACCTGACAGGTCAAGGCAGGTCCAAACTGTCCCATCCAGATCTATAGTGTCCAAGGATCAAGAGAGATGAAACAGATGTCTAGTCTCTCATTGACCTCATGGAGAATAGCTGGATCAATCTTATGTCCCCTGATGAGACAGATCTGGTTAGCCTCTCCACTGGCACCATGGCTCTACCTGATGTGACCAGGGATTTCTTGAGAGCTCTTGAGATAGGAGAAGACGCCTACCAGGTATTCAATCAACCAAGGTTAGATGAGGACCCACAATCTGTGAAGTTCCACGACAAGATGACCAAGCAAAGTCTGAAGACATTCTCCAAAATCAGTACAAAAACGGCACGTGGAAAGAAAGCACAGGATGTTGCTCTGAAGGCAGATAGAAACCTGTTCAGCCACATGAACCTGGTGGCTGAAAGCAGGAAGGTGAATATGAAGGATGTCCTTGCCCACCCACTGGGCCCACTGCCACGGGCACTGGCAAATGCTGATGGTCCCTACGAAAAACAAACAAGGCTGCACTTGCCAGAGAGCTTGAAAAGAATGTGTCTCCTGCAGAAGGCATCCCAACCCCATCTACTTCCATCATTGATGGGATGAGCCTGGTCCAAAAAATGAATGGCAACAACAAACCTTTGCACAGGTGGCAGAGCCAGCCTTGACCCAGGTCCTCCACGAGGGGCACAGATTTAGAGGATTTATGTGTTTTACATCTACCGACAGACTTCGATCAAATATGCTGAACGACTGAACCGGAGTGCAGACACCACTCTCCAGTACAAGAACCTTGCAGGAGGACACCACGTCCAGCAGTGGAGAAAATTCCTGTGCAGTCCCTCCAACAAGACCAGTCCCATCAAGTTTATGGTGGAAGAGTGGAAACTTCCACGATACAGAGATGCTGTATGGCAAGGTGTTGTACATGACCTGTGAGGAAACCTGCTACAAGTTGACAGAATATGAGTGTGAGGAAGAAGCAGAGCTGCACTCTACGCATGAAAGAAGCTGACACCTGTCTGCTGCTGCATGCATTGCATGCAGCTTAATGTGGTCTCAAAGACAGTATTATCACAGCTGAGGACACTGATGTCATGGTTCTTTGTCTTGACTTCTAGAAGGACATCACCTGTCCCATCTGCCAGAAGTGTGGGAGACAGAACCGCACATGGTTTGTGGATATCAGCAAATTGGCAAGGTCACTTGGAGACAGTATCTGTGACAGCCTAATTGGCTCACACGTCTTCACAGGCTGCGATAGTCAGTGCATTCGCCGGTCGAGGGAAGCTGAATGCCCTGAAGATGGTGAGAAAGGACACTTCCTGCCAATATACTTTTAGTCGACGGGGGCAGTCATGGAATGTGAGTGTTGAGCTGTTCCAGAAATTGAGCAGTTCACCTGTCGCATTTATGTTGCTAACAGCAGCACTGGTGAGGTGAACGAACTGTGCTACCAGCTCTTCTGCACCAAAAGGGTAGAAGTCGCGTCCAGCCAGCTGCCACCATGTAGTCTTGTGGAGGCTGTCCCTTCATGCATGTTCAACGAGCCAACTATCAGGCAGCAATCTGGAAGTGCTGCCTGCAGGCTAACCCTGTGGTGCAAAGCACTACCGAGTATGGATGGACAGACGATGATGGCAAGCTGGCCATTTACTGGATGTGCTCCCCACTTGCACTAGATGTGGTCTTGGAACTGCTAGCATGCAAGTGTGTGCGTTCATGCAAAATTCCAAGCTGCACGTGCCTGTCGAATGGACTGACATGTGCAGGTTACCCACCTGCAGTAACCAAAACTGCAGGATGATCCAGAACCTGACTTTGAACTCGGGGAGTCAGATGACAAGATAGACGAGCAGTTTGATGAGTGACACAAGGTGGTGATTTTGATGGTATTACTGTGGTAGTAGTAGTATACATTGATGCACAGTGTGGTGATTCTGGACTTGGTTACCCCTGTTAGCACCATCTAACTACTCACAGAGATTGATAACAATAATGTAACCTTCACATATACCCATCACTAATGATATATATGGGATTACATGTATCATTGACTAAGTATATAAGAATGTAAATGTTTATAATATCCAAGTAGATCCTTACCTCACTATTGTATTCCTTATTATCCTGTGTTTTAATTGTGTATTTAAGCCAATAAAGACCCGTTTGTGACCTAACTGGCTTTGGTCTATGTAGTTTTTCAGTAATAATGCCCGTCTCATCGTTCCGGACACCTTTCATAGGGTATGGGTATAAAAGGCATGGTAACTACAACTAAGTTGCCACTCCGCAAAGGTTATCATATCAGAATGTGTCCCACACACATGGAGGATTACAAAAATAATTACTAGACTTTGCCACCTCAGGTGGTACCAATAAGTGATTGTTTTGGTCTGGGCCCATGGACTATCTGGGCTCTGACCAACGTTAGCCAGCTTCCAAAGCCCTGATTCACTGACCCGTAGAGTTCAAACTGTGCCATTTGTAAGGCAGGCGCATGAAGGTTACAGCCCAATGACTTCCCTTGGTTGAAGTTCCACTGCAGTGGCCGTCTCATTGTTACATTGCCTTCCTGTCTACCCCTTTTTTGTGCCCCTACCTTATTACAGACCAATTCAGACCTTATTGGTCACCCCGTGCCCTTAAAAGTCAACGTTGATCCTACAAAGTCCCATCACAAGGGAGAAACAAAAACAAATAGACTTAGGACATTGTTGCAACGTATTGAAACGGCTGTACGCCGCATGGACCCTGAAAAATAAATTTCCCTGTACAAGAATACGGGTAAACCATATGGGTTGACAGCTATGACATTGCGTTCAACGGTCCCGTGTTAAAATGCAGCGTTAAGTCGTGACGATGTTATCCAGGTCACTTCAGGGAGCTTCCCCTGGGTTGTGGAGCGAAATGCCGGATATCGTGCACGGACAACAACAACAACTCAGCCGTGGAACCTGAAAACACATCGGAGGAGCTTTACAGTACAACCTGCAAAAAACCTACGCAGCGCAGTATTTCAGAATAGTATTTTTTGTTAGGATAGAAGCAACACAGAATAAGAGTGTATGCTGCAATACAGACAGCTATTTCGGGAGTGTTTGCAAGTTTATATTTATTGAAATACTAATACTTTTTTTACACGATAGATATTCAGTCACCGTGGCCAAATAAGCTAGTTATAATAGAAGACATTCTAGACAGAATCTCAAGGCTTCGCTACTAGGCAAGTTAAGATGGATTGATTCCTAAACAATTTTTTTAAACTACAAAAAATATTTTGTTTCATTTTACCAGGTAAAGCCCCACTGAGCTATGTATCTCTTTTCCAGAAGCGACCTGGCTATCACATTTGATAGCTCAACGAAGTGGCTTATCACATGGGAATTTAGAGCAGCCAAATGCACGTTGATTCTAAATGTGGAGGGAAAAAACGGAGGACCCGGAGAAAATACACGCCACCATGTGGAGAGACACGTAAACTCCGAATATATATGCGTCAGGGACGGGATCGAACCCAACACATCCTGTATACCAGGCGAGGTAGTTAACAACTTGCCACCGTGGCGCCCTTAAAACAACAAAAAATAGATTCCCACGCTTACTATACACGTATCTAAATTGTCTAAATCACAATTCATTAACTGTGCATATGATTCGTAAATGCCACATTTAGGCTTATTGAGAAAATACAGAGATGACAAAAAATAATCAATGGAGAAGAAACGCATGCATACGTATAGGACACAGGAACACTTTTCAGTTTGCATCTAGCTTCAAAAGTACTCAGGATAGTGATGATGACGATGTTGGTAGTGCTTGTGCCAGGCGTATTGTCCATAGGCTGGTATTTTTGGCACTCCTGTCGTGCCACAGTCACGGGGCAACTCCGCAAGCGCCGCGACTCCCCCTGCCCTCCACCCTGAGCACGCACACACGCCACACACACACACGTAGTGTCCTGGCGGGGGATTGCCTGGCACAACGGGTTTTCATCCGAAGGGCCCCTAGGTGGGAAGTCACGCGGTTTCCCGGTGCCAGGAGATTAGCCGACCCTCCCGGGACAAATCGCATAGTGGCGCCCCTAAATTGGATTAAACTTGAATGATAATTCTAGATTTGAAGCTTTCGTGACTGCGAGGATTCATACTCTTAGATTTTTTTCGGTAAAGTCATGTAGGTAAAAAATAAAAAATTTAATAAAAATTTATAAAAGTAAAATAAAAATCACGACGTTTCGGAGGCAACAAAAGCTTCCGTCTTCAGGTGGAACCGTCACAGCACGCTTGCTGTATCAAGTAAAAGAAAAATTCCAAGAGACCCGGCCTTGTATATATACTGGTCGAGGGGGGAGGAGCCAGGGTAGGCCCCTGGATAAGAGTTTATTTTATTATGATAAGGTTGGTGCGGCTGAAGCTGCTGCTAGTCTACATAACAAATGACTGAGCCTTTGTTATGTAGACTGGTTGAGAGGGGGAGGTGCCAGAATGGGCATACAAAGGTTCACCTGGCCAGCCACAATGAATCATGCACAACATCGTGGAGAGGGCTGGGGTGAAATATTAAGCGAGGAGAGCAGACGATTAGGGAGGGGGACTGGCTAGTGTGTATTTGCTAGCCGGACGCCATCCCAGATTAAACCGGCTGAGTCAGGGATGAATGAGTACGGGTGCAGAGACAATGGGCCGAAAAATAACGTAATGTAATGCTCCAGGTAAGGGCAGAAAACGTTTGAAAATCACAGGTAGGCGCACGAATGGCTGCGCAGGGAAACGTAACCCCAGATGGATTTTTTTTTCCGAGGGGCATAAAAAGGGGAGCTAGAAACGGTTCAGGGTGCGGGGTAGCGTATGACCGCCCGTTGGCACGCGCGTGTTCACGTAGCCGCTGTAGCGCTAGTCTTTGTGCGGACGCGGAGTTGGATATAATTGCCCGCAGGTGCACACGCGTATTCGCGCAGCTGATGTAGCGCTAGTCTTTGTGCGGGAGCGGATTAGGATATAACCGCCTGCAGGCGCGCGTGCGTATTCGTGTAGCCGCTTAGTGTCAGTCTTAGTGTGGGGACATATTATAATCTGATCGCCGGCAGGAGCACGCCGCATTAGCCTTAGTGGTAGTGTGTGCGCGGGCATGTGTGGTTTAACCCTGTACGGTGGTAAGCCAGTCGCTCAGCCATGTCTCTCCGAGAGGGCACTAGCGCGGGAGGGATGATCACCCGATCGGCGGGGGTCCGGCGGAAGCTGAGCGGCGGAGGGGGCGAACATAGCGCCCCACCTGCCCGGCAAGGGCGGTGGGGCAGACGTCGGCCCCCACACTCCCGACCCTGATGCCTGCTCTACATTTGGAGTTTGCGTGTCTCTCCCAGGGAAGTCCTGGTAGTTGGGAATTCTGACAACGTGCCTAACCCAACAGGGTGCTGATGTTGAGTTGATCACTATAATTATGATGGCATTCATAACGCACCCGATTTTTCAGGCAAAGACAACAACTCAGAGGCACAGAGCCACGCTCAGGGCTGCTCGAAAGCCCCTTGAAAGTCAGAGTGTATTTGATGTTGCAGATGTGCAAAGGGATTAGAGAGTTTCACACTGAGGGGGTGACGGCAGAGAACCAACGTGAGGCTGTAACAGTGTAGTGAGTGTATAGTGTAGTGTATAGTAGTGTATAGTGTAGAGTAGTGTATAGTGTAGAGTAGAATAGTGTATAGTAGTGTATAGTGTAGTGTATAGGAGCGTATAGTGAAGTGTATAATAGTGTAGATTATAGTTTTTTGTATAGTAGTGTAATGTATAGTAGTGTATGGTGTAGTGTATTGTATTGTAGTGTAGAGTAGTGTAATGTATAGTAACATGAGGCTGTGACAGTTCGAGACCTTTGCTGTCCGAAGCAGATTTTGAGTGACGCTGCCGTGATAGGGTTCGACCATGAGCCTTCAGTGCAAGGCGACAGCAGTTCATGGCTGCTTCCAGAAAACTTTGCAGTCCGATTACAATCGTACCCGGATCATCTTTATGCGAGTTATCACCGTGACCCAGTGGTACACCCACGTACGTACGCCACAACTATTGCGCGGACGCTGTCAAACCTAGCCGGAGAACAGTAAAGACCCAAGAGAGAACGCAAATGAGACTGCAAATGAGAGATGTAAAGAGGGAATTGATTCTCGAATTACTGTGGCAATGCCACAGTCATCATGGGCAAAGTCACATACAAAAACTAAATTTCAGGCCCTATTTAATGATGGTAGCTATACCAAAATTAAAAGAGATCCCACCAACCGCCTCGTTACGAAAAACAACAATATCATCACTGATTCAACATCTTTGATCAAACCAAGCGGTTTTCCTTAAAACCCTCTGCTGCTAGACCACCCAGACTGTATGGCTTACCAAAAATCCATAAAGAGAGTACACCCCTTCGTTCTATTGTCTCCACTATTGACTCACCCGCCTACAAACTGGCTCGATTTCTGTCTGAGACCATACAGCCATTCACTGGTAAGGCCACCTCAGCTGTACTTAACTCAGCTCACTTGATATCGTTAATTAAGGACATCTCACTATCTCCAGAGCCGCATGGCTCACAGGGCTATACCTAATAATGATAATTCAGGTGATTTGCTTGTTAGTTTCAGTGTGTTATCTTTGTTTACCAAAGTTCCTGTGCTTGACGCCATTGCAATCATTGAAGATTTAGTCCAACAAGAACTGAATGCTGATGTACCGACCCTGGTGAGACACTGCCTCGCCAACACTTACTTCACCTGGAATGGAACATTCTACAAACAAGTTGAAAGTACCCCAATGGGTTTTCCCTTATCTCCAGTTGTAGCCAATGTTTTAATGGAAAACTTTGAGACAGATGCCATCCAGGCATCCACTCTATGTCCGTCCTTGTGGAAGAGGTACGGAGATGACACGTTTATCATCTTGCCACATGGCCGACCAGCTCTGAACCAATTTTTCAACCACATCAATTCCATACACCCAGCCATCAAATTCACCATAGAGGTGGAAAAGGATGACAAGTTACCATTCTTGGATGTTTTAATTGAAAAGAGACCAAATGGCTCAATGGGACACTCTGTCTACAGGAACGCCACCCATACGGATGCCTACCTAAAACCTGACTTCCACC